AGAGAACTCAGAATAGCTCCCTACTTCCTATTACATCTTTATTATAAAGGACACAACTCAGAAACAGCCAAAAGAAAGAGATGCACAGGCCAGGAGGGCACAGAGCCCCCATGCCCTCTCTGAGTGCGCCCCCTCCCAGCACATCAACCGGTTCACCAACCTGAAAGCTCCCTTAGCCTCACTGCTTCAGTGTTTATGGAAGTTCCGTTATGTTGGCATGATTTCCCAAATCACTGGCCACTGGTGTGTGAACTCAACCTGTAGCCCCTCCCTTCTCCCGGAAGTTGGAAGTGGGGCTGATAGTTCTCATTCTCTAATCACATGGTAGGTTCTCTGGTGACCAGCCCCCATCCTGCAGCTATCCAAGCCCCACATGTAGTAACCTCATTAGAATACACGAGACACTCCTATGTCTCTGGAAACTCCAAGGATTTTAGGACAGTGATGGCGAACCTTTTGAGCTCGGCGTGTCAGCATTTTGAAAAACCCTAACTTAACTCTGGTGCCGTGTCACATATAGAAATTTTTTGATATTTGCAACCATAGTAAAACAAAGATTTATATTTTTGATATTTATTTTATATATTTAAATACCATTTAACAAAGAAAAATCAACCAAAAAAAATGAGTTCATAGGTTCGCCATCACTGTTTTGGAGCTCTGTGCCAGGAACTGGGACAAAAACTATATATGTAACTTTTTTACCATGCCACACCAGCACACTGTACCATCAAGCATGTCAAACTCACAGCCCGCAGGCCTCATGTGGCCCACAACAAATATTTTTTGCGGCCCAGCCAATTTAACGGTATATAAGAAACGTTTTAATAAAAATGTTGTAACTTAATTTTTACAATATCCTGTTATACATAATTATTAATAACGAACTACAACATTCACTAATGACTGATAACTATAATTGTGTTGCATTCATTTCCCTTACGCGCCTTACGCGCAGGCGCACCATTTCTCTCCACTAATACTAGCAGCGAATATTTTAGCAGCCGATGGCCAAGTCATTAGTCTTGGACTGACTTGTTTGGTGTGCGCAACAGGAAGTATTTCGCTTTCGGAGAACAAGAAAAATAGGTTTATTTGCGTTACGCTTATTAATTTGTACAGTTAATTCAGTGTCTGGTAAGTTAATGTTCAAAAAAATATATTAATTTTTATTAAGATGTCCTATTATTTTATGTTAATATTACTCATTTTATTTCAGCCCTTTGTATTCAGCATGTCTCTATTTAAATAAATCTATGTTTCTATGAAAATGAAGCTTTTGTTTTTTTTGCGGCTGCAGCCCACATGAACTTAAATCTTGTTTATGTGGCCCGTGTTAGCCTCCGAGTTTGACATGCTTGCTGTACCACAGTTTCTGGTACACAACAGGCACTTAGTATTTACTAATGAATGATGCAGGCTTCAGTGGGCCATTCTAGAGTTCTTTCTCCCTCTTTCCTTCTTCATTTCTGAAAGATCAGTGAACTTTTTTAAAAAATATATTTTTATTGATTTCAGAGAGGAAGGGAGAGAGAGAGAGAAAGATAGAAACATCAATGATGAGAGAGAATCATTGACTGGCTGCCTCCTGCACGCCCCCCACTGGGGACTGAGCCCACAACCCGGGCATGTGCCCTTGGCCAGAATCGAACCCGGGACCCTTCAGTCCACAGACCGACGCTCTATCCACTGAGCCAAACCAATTAGGTTGATTAGTGAACTTCTTAAGCCAAAACTATTTATGCTTTAAGATTCCCCTTCCACCCCCACCCCACTTGGATAATCTAGAGAACACAAACCCTGGCTTCCAGAATCGTAGGGCACGTCACGCCTCTGACACAGGGAGACTCATAGGAGAAGCGTTCACAAAGATTTTTTTAGAGATAGAATTTAAATTATTGATTTACAACCTGCTCCCGTCTCCTCCCAATTTCATCCCTTCTTGTCACCTTCACAACCAACAGATTCTGCCGCTCTAAATAGAAGTAGGAAGCTCGGGTTGGACATTTGTTGGGAGTGGTAGGATATTTTTGCCCATGTAATACATTGTATAATGTGCCACCAAAAAGACCTGATGTTCTGGATAGTCCCCAGTGATACGAGTCCCACCTTATGCTGTTAAAATCCCAAGTGATCAGCATTTTACACAACATAGGGAAAACTGAATCTCTAACAGGAGAAAATTGGAAACCAGGGATGAAGAAAACGCAGAAGGTAGTAGGGTTATTCTAAATCCATTAACAGAAAAAGCAAAATGAAAAACAGTCCATCAGAGCTAATATGCCTTGAAAATATGGTATGAAATTCCAGTTTAAAGGAGGGTTCAGGGGAACAGTGTTGAAGTTTTCTACCCACCAGCACAGCTAGCTATCCATTGAATGGACTGTTAGGCTTCACAAAACTAACAGCTTCCTAATATTAACAAAAATGAGCCACACCCTATAACCACACTGTGAGCTCTCAACTTAAATGCTTATCCAAGGGCTTCATAGTGTCCTTTTTGGAGAATAGTTTTAGCCCTGCCCATACACTTGGCCCACCTTTCTGTGGAAGTGGGGTACCCTTCATCTCGAGAAAAAATATAAAAGGGGCCCCTGAATCTCCTCAGCTGAATGTCCTGTTTGGCCTGTGCATCCTCTATGCACGTGACACCTCTGATCAGCAGCACACAATATCATCATTTCAGGCTTTGTCAGAAAATGCATCCGAGAACAGATTGTGACCCTCTGCAAATGTGTGCTAGAGACACCTGGCATTGGAAAAATACGCCTGAGGCAGCTGTTCTATACGAGATGGATCATTCTAAATGACCTAAGGGGAATAGTAGATGGGAACAACTGGTGGATCATTTGAAAAGAGACAGTGAGAGAGAACTGAGTGGGTGTCTGGGCCCACCCAACATGTAGGACATCATAGCTGGAGGTGGGGCCCAGGTGTCTTTGTAAAGCCACACCCCCTCCCCATCAAGCAATGGAAAGGAGACATATGCTAATTTTCCTTTTCATCTCCAAACAATATGCACCTGGATTGGGTACAATGGAATTACACGGGGAACTTTTTCAAAATATACCTGTGCAAGACCTTCCCTACCCACCCCACCACTCTGACAAACATTATGCTGTACAACTTCTGCATTTTGCAAGGGCCCTCTAGGTCATTCTGCTCCTCCCGCCTCCCTTCATCCCATCCCATCTTCGGCTGAAATATAGTACACTACACACTGCTTCTCTATTACGAGTACACTCAGTTACTAGAAAGAAATATATTTGGGTCACATCTCTTAATTCCCTGCTGACATACCGTAATGGAATTAATATTTAACAATACACACTTGACTTAGATCCAAAGTGCCTTAAAGGGGTTATCTACTAGAATTTGACATTGTTATACCTTCTGGAAAATCAATTGCAACCATCTGATACGTTACCCAGCATCCATTACCCTTCACAAAATTCATGTCTGACAAGAGATGGTCCCCGCAGCAGAACATGTCTGTGTCTTTTTAATAGACAATGATAATGAGATTAATGCAAAGCATTTACCCTGGTGCCTCAGCTGCTAGGAAACAAGCCTCTTTTTTTGGTATTTTTAGTAATCACAGCATATGGGTGAGGCTCCTTAGCAATGGTTTGTAAGAGAGTACTATCCAATGGAACTGTGAGGGTAGAAATGTTCTAATTCCATGCTATCCAATTCGGTAGGCTAGGGAGCCTTTCAAATGTGACTAGTGTGGCAGAGGAATGAATTTTAAATTTTATTTAATTTCAACAAATTAATTTTAAGGAGTCACAGGTGGCTAGTGGCTGTCTTGAACAGCATGGTTGTAACGCCAGGCTTTACAGTTAAACTCAGTTAATACATAAATAAAAGTAACATGATACAAAATGTGTATAGTAGTTTCAACTTTGGTGCAAATGCTATGTTTATATTGTAAGAGCATCCCTGGCTTTCAGTAATATCATTGGAAAGGACCGTGGGTTTCGGGGGTTGACAGCAGACACTTGGCTGCTCTCAATAAAGAGGAGGCTCAGGTGATCTCTCCGGAGCAGCCTGACTGGGACGTTACCATTAGAACTGCCGGAACCTGATGGCAGCACCACTGACCTTCCTCTGAACTGTGCCACCGTACCCGCCTCAAAGGACCCTCAGGTAGAGCCCTCCCCTGTTCAGCCCCACCTGGCAGAGGGAGGCAGGAGGGGGCTTTCACGCTCGCCTGGATCATGCACACCTGGAGAGAGTGTTCTCTTTTTACCAAAGGACTCAGTGGGGCTTCAGGGTTTCTCAACCTCAGCACACGGACATTTGGGCCTGTGATTCTGTATTGTGGAGGGCTGTCCTGCGCATTGGAGAATGTTTAGCAGCATCCCTGGCCTCTACTCATGATCAATACACACGTGGCTTAGATCGTCTGGCTTGGCATCCCATAACTCCCCCCTTCCCAGTAGTGCCAACCAAATATTTCATCCCATAACTCCCCCCTCCCCAGTAGTACCAATCAAATATTTCATCCCATAACTCCCCCCTCCCCAGTAGTGCCCAGCAAATATTTCTCCAGACATTGTCAAATATTTGCTGGGGGCAAAAAATCACCCTGGTTGAGAACCACTGATGTAGACAGTGAGTCCTTGCACTATGGGCTACTGGAAAAAGGAGACGAATCTTAATTGTTTTTGTTTAATATCTAGTACCTAGCAGATGCCTGGTGTGTGACATATACTCAACTAAGCATTGCTTGGATGAATAAATAAAAGGCCACTATTATTTTTTAACTTTTTAAATATTCCCCTGTGCCTAGCAAAGTGTAAGACCCAATCAACAAATATGTTCTGGTTGCTTAATGTTCTTAGAGGCCTTTAAAAAGTAGGAATTCCTACTGATAACTATTTCCGAGGAAGCAAAATGGAGAAATAAATCATTTTCAAACCTTAATGTGCATGAAACAATTTCCTACCCTGTTAGAGTTTTTAGCAAACAGTGTAAGTCTAAAAATAGAGTCTCACCATTTCCAAATGAAGTACCACAACCGTCTGTGGGGAGGAAGCAGGGCTCCGCCGCCTCTGGGCCTCGGTCTGTCCACCGTCTGGGTGCTGGGGTCGGTAGAAGCCAGGCCTCTCCAGCACCAGGTACGACCCCCAGGAGCCCCTGCTGCTGGCTGCCCTGCAGGAGGAAAACAGGGATGGCTCGGCTCAGCTTCCAGCTCCTGAACCTTTATGCTGCCTTTGCCAGCAGGTGATGCTTTTTATCTCATTTGTCAAAATCACACCCCGCAGAACAAGGCTACCAATTAAAGCCAAGCCATGGCGCCTAAAACTTAGGGCAGTGATGGCGAACCTTTTGAGCTCGGCGTGTCAGCATTTTGAAAAACCCTAACTTAACTCTGGTGCCGTGTCACATATAGAAATTTTTTGATATTTGCAACCATAGTAAAACAAAGATTTATATTTTTGATATTTATTTTATATATTTAAATGCCATTTAACAAAGAAAAATCAACCAAAATAATGAGTTCGCCATCACTGACTTAGGGGATGCTCTACCTCTGTGTACACATGGCCTAGCACTGCAGAGAGAAAGGAAAGTAAAGGCATCCCCACCATACACAGATTTAAACTGAAGACACATTTAGCATAGTCTGCTCTGCCTTGTCTATTTACTGTTTGTGGTATTTTAAGTTTCTTGGATGAGATTTCTTATTTAATGGGAACTGTCACTCTCTAAACTCCGTATCACTGGCTGTACATTTAAGGAACTGCTGTATTCAAACAACCAAGATCATGAAGTCCCCATTGCACCAGGGAAAAGGTCAGAGCATTTATTAAAATTAAAAAAGCAAAGGAGAGGGAAGAAAAAGCAGCTTATTTGCAAAAACCATCCTTCCCCGAGAGCGGTGGTTTGCCGGGGACATATTAGAATCACCTGGGCAGCTTTCTGAAGTCCACACACACCAGACAAATCAAATCAGAACCCCAGGGTCGTAACCAGGCATTGCCAATTATTTTAAGTAAGTGTTTGAGTTTAGAACAGTTGTAAGTGTATGGGAAAAAATTGCAAAGCTAGTGCAGAGATTTCCTATATACCGCATTCCAAGTTTCCCCTATAAACTTCTTCTATAAGTA